CATTCACAGTCCAGCCACAGCTCTCTTGGGCAGTCTGAACTCAAGGTGGATTGTGTTCAGTTCTCGCTAGATTTAGGGCCCCTATTGTGTGTGTGTTGTTCATCAGCTTTAGATATGTACCGGGACAAAAATGCAGAATTACTGCTGAACATGTTAGTCGTATCGTAATCTAATCGAGGTTCAGACGAGCAGACAAGTGACCGGCTCGAACCCCTTACAAACCCTTGCAAAAGACTTGATTCAGACTTAATAACTGGGAACTAACCTCATATAATATATGGAGAACCATCTGAGAGAAGCAAAGGAGTGTAAGTGCCTCGAGAGGGGCATTAGAAATGTGGTCAAGGAATATAAACACGTCCAACAGATTGGTTGATCACACCTTCAGCCAGTAGAGGTGTACTAATCTCCAATGACTGGCCCCGATCTGTTGAGAGATCGGGCCGCGGGGACACTGATCCCCGTAAGCATCGCAAGATAGGTAGGTTGAAGGAGTGCCAGGTATGGGGGAACCAGCTGACCCTGGCAGCCGCGCTGACTTCATCACCACCACAGTGCCACCATGACGTCACCTGGCTTCCCCCACTCTCTTTGTATTGCTTAGCGGTGATGCGGCGGGTGTCTTGCTTCACTTAACGCTCGTGCTGTTAACAGTCGTCACAAGCTGTGTCCACGTGGGTGTAGGGGATGGTAGCGCGCCAGGAGTGGTGGTCAGTTGATGTTGGGGCAGTGTGTGTGTGTAGGACCGTGCTGGCTGGCCCCCTACACCACAAAGACCTCTCGCTGTCTATAGTATTAGCACCCACACCCGGGCATCCTGCCAACTCTATTACAGGAATAGACGCGCCCACGGCTCCCTACGTTCCGCCTTGATGAATTTCGGCGAGTTTCGACCTCAATTGTGAATCGTTTGAAGCGATGGTGTTATGGTAGGTTTAGATACTTCCCGGTTAATGGGTGACGGGGATGGTGTTGGTGAGGTAGGCGCGGCTGTGGCGAGACTTGGCAAGGTGGGGCGGTGTGGTCATGTCAGTTGGGACGAGTGGTGCCAGTGTGGAGGCAGCCGGCGCAAGGGAACCACTGCGTGTCTCCCGCCAGTGCCAGCCACCAGTACAACAGTACAGGCATTAAGGGACCCGCTACGGTCGTCAGGAAGCTGTGGCTTCTACTGTGTGTGGTAGTGGGCTGCCACAGCCGCCCGCAACATAAGTCAGGTTCACAAACTCTCACACAAAGCAGATGTTTTAAACTAGACAGCCAGCGAGTGCTTCAAATTTGAAATCTGATTTTGAAAAAGTGTGTGTTTAAACTGGAGCGAAACAAGCGAGTGTAACTTTTCTTTTCTGATATTTAGCGACCATTGTGGTTCAAAAGTTGCTTTTTGTGGCGGATTATACACTTAAAATATATTTCTCAAGTGTATCTGGAGGAGTTTTGAACACAACAGCCTGCAGGTAAGATTACTGTTTATTTTTAATGCAGTGACTCGCCAAGACAGTGTGTGTGTTGTAATGTAAATGTGTGACAGTGGTGCTTGACACGGGGACCACCACCATGTGTGACAGTGGTGCTTGACACGGGGACCACCACCATGTGTGACAGTGGTGTTTGACACGGGGACCACCACCATGTGTGACAGTGGTTTTGACACGGGGCCCACCACCATGTGTGACAGTGGTGTTTGACACGGGGACCACCACCATGTGTGACAGTGCTGCTTGACACGGGGACCACCACCATGTGTGACAGTGGTCTTGACACGGGGCCCACCACCATGTGACAGTGGTCTTGACACGGGGACCACCACCATGTGTGACAGTGGTCTTGACACGGGGACCACCACCATGTGTGACAGTGGTCTTGACACGGGGACCACCACCATGTGTGACAGTGGTCTTGACACGGGGACCACCACCATGTGTGACAGTGGTCTTGACACGGGGACCACCACCATGTGTGACAGTGGTCTTGACACGGGGACCACCACCATGTGTGACAGTGGTCTTGACACGGGGACCACCACCATGTGTGACAGTGGTCTTGACACGGTCCACCCCACCCCTCCCTTCCCACTTGCCACTGTGGCCTTGGCACGAGGGGGGGGGGGACCATTTATCGCTTCAAATGTAAATAGTTAAAAACAAATTGCCACAAAGGCGAAGAAATGTTTGGCTAGAAATATACTTCATACATTCCTCACAAACTTTGTACTTCACTAAACATAATTTAATACCGAGGAAGCTGGGTTTTTTTAACAGTAATTTCAAATTAACAATTATGATAAATAATAACTATTTTAGTTTTCTCCATAAAGAACATCTTAGGGTTTTGCTCACTTACACTTGATCGTGTCTGGAAGGATTTCTTGAGAGCCTCTCGCGACACCTTAAACGTGAAGTCGTCGACGCTCGATGGCTCGTGGAGCTTGTGGAGGTAAATACGGAAATGAGCTTTCTGCGGGGCTTTGGTGGGCCGCCTCAGGTACCAGGAGAGGCCCCTCGCCTCCGTCCCCGATGGCATATACACCATACTCTCTACACGGGAGCAGTAACATACTAATTCCTCGTGTGAAAGATACGGTGTATACTAGAGGCAGGATAATCCCAGTGTAACGAAACACAAGTCAAATACTCTGGGGAAACGTCAGAATTATATTTTTTTTTGTTCTAAGAAATATCTGCTGGAACTGCGTCATATTCAGCAAAGACCTACTGGATCAGCCTAATTTTAATTATTATGCGGGTCACAAACAGCAATAATCTGCCTAATAGCATACACAAATATTTACGAAAGAGATGAGTGAGAGAGAAGCTAGATGAGGGCGATGATAGAGATGGGATGAGGGAGACGAGAGATGAAAAATGACAGTGAGAGAGAGAGAGGGGGGGGGGGGAGAAGAGAGAGAGGGAGAGGATTGTTACCTAATGTTGTTAATGAATAAAGGCTATTCCTACTGAACATATAACAGGTTTATGAAATAAATGAACCTCTAGGAGCAGGCTTCAGATAAGCTGAAGTAGGATAACAGCTCTTGCTTGCAGTTTCACTAGGCACGTCATTTGACAGCACTTACGAGTCCTAGTCTTAGTTGAGAAAAAAGCGAGCTAGTGCGGGGTGTGAAGAATCTCGCGCACAGAATCTAAATATATCACAAGGGTTGAATCTGACTGGTAGTATTGTGAGTGGCGGGGGAGCCATATCACTAATCACTCAGCCTTGTCATTCAGTGCTCTGTATACCCACCGTCACCCGAGGCGTCACTATAGTGGGAGCTGGCCCACCATCTTCCAATATAGATAACAATGTTTGAATAAGACAGAACTTGTGCGCAGTCCGTCTTCTCCGGTTCCCACCACGGACAGAAAGTGAGGTACTAAATTACACACAAATTTTGTTTGTGATGCATCAAATGAACAAATCCACAAGGGCCGTGACGAGAATTCGAACCTACGTCCGAGAGCATCCCAGACGCTGCCATAATCGACATGAGCTACGGCATGGAATCCTCGTCCATGTCGAGGATTCGAATCCTCGTCAATATTCAGAATTCAATAAGAGGTTAGAATCCTCGTCACGGCCCCCTGTGGATTTGTTCATGAGGTACTAAACCTAACCACGCATAGAAAACGTGAATGTTTGCGAGTCGCTTTGATTGATAGTACCCATTTAATTGTTTCTTGGTGATTTTTAACCTCAAAATGCTGTGTATGTGTACTATTCGATGGGGACAGGTTGCCGTGCTTGAGGAAAAAGGTTCAGGGACGACTGAGGGTCGTGGCTGCTCGGCCAGACCGTAAGAGATGGGGGGAAACTCCACGAAATTCACTCGTCTCCAGTACTGGTCGACAGGCAGCACACTTACGACGACTGGAGAAACTGTACACGGTGTAGCTGTATGGTCATACGTGACTACAGTCGTGGAGACACTCTGGGTGTATTTAAGTGCCGAGTTTTTCTTCAGGAACCAAGTATATTCCTATCGCTCAAGTAACAAAAAATAGTTATGATAAAATTGTGTGATATGAGTGATATGGGCGGTGCAGCGTGATTGGTTATCTCTGTTCTGGTATGTGGGAGATTGTAATAGGGTCACTCAGGGGCCTGGGATATAAGGTCACTCAAGGGACCTGGGATATAAGGTCACTCAAGGGACCTGGGATATAAGGTCACTCAAGGGACCTGGGATATAAGGTCACTCAAGGGACCTGGAAGTAGTGAGTGTTTTATTAACATATTTAGCTATACAATATCTGCATTCGTTGCTCCCTTAGACTGAGATCATATTCAACTCCCAAAATCTTCCATTTACGGGCTATTCATGCCCGTGCTACCTCTTGGGTGGCCTAATCTTGATTGATTGATGAAGATTAAGCCACCCAAAAGGTGGCACGGGCATGAATAGCCCGTAAGTGGTGGCCCTTTTGAGCCATTACCAGTATAGAGAGATGATACTGGAGATCTGTGGAGGTGCAACTGCACCCTGCGTGATGGAAGATGTCTCCCGGACCAAAGCCTAATCTTCATCAATCAATGCTTAAGACTGTATGAAGGGGGTACACTGTGTCGAGAACTAACTACGTGATGCTGAAAATGCCCACCACACAGCATGGTCAGTCATACAGGGCCGTGTGGTGCGTGATCTGCAAGGACAATCTCTGGACAGAAGCTGTTGTTGTGTCGACGCAGTTAAGACACTCCAAGGTTATGGTATCGTCTTTAGGTTAATCGACCTAATTGATGGTAATATCTTGCATGTTTTAGGTGTGAATATTGGAGTGTAGTTACAGTTAGATGACAGGTACGGTCGTGGTGTCCCGTCCTGTCTAAATTGTCTATAACAAGGTTATCCAAATTTGTAAGTTGAGATGATTAATTATACTATTCAAGAATTATATTTCTCGTACTTTTATTGGTAGAGTAAGCTTATTTTGCATTATTTTTTAAATCAAGCTTTGAATGCTTACTGGATTTCTTAATACTGATATTTTTTATCTTTGCAGGTGACATGTTACTTCAGCTTGAGTGACAGACAGGTACGTCTACACTCCCCACACCTCTTTACTCTCATGAACCACTTTATTACTTTTATAATGTAGAGTAAAAACTTAGGCATTCAAATCTGTGATCACTATGAATGTGTTGTTTATATATGTGAAGACTTTGCGTCACGTGCAGAGTCTTCGTACCGACCGGGTGATGGTGGAGGAAGACTTGGGGTGTGATGGTGGAGGAAGACTTGGGGTGTGATGGTGGAGGAAGACTTGGGGTGTGATGGTGGAGGAAGACTTGGGGTGTGATGGTGGAGGAAGACTTGGGGTGTGATGGTGGAGGAAGACTTGGGGTGTGATGGTGGAGGAAGACTTGGGGTGTGATGGTGGAGGAAGACTTGGGGTGTGATGGTGGAGGAAGACTTGGGGTGTGATGGTGGAGGAAGACTTGGGGTGTGATGGTGGGTGAAGACTTGGGGTGTGATGGTGGAGGAAGACTTGGGGTGTGATGGTGGAGGAAGACTTGGGGTGTGATGGTGGAGGAAGACTTGGGGTGTGATGGTGGAGGAAGACTTGGGGTGTGATGGTGGAGGAAGACTTGGGGTGTGATGGTGGAGGAAGACTTGGGGTGTGATGGTGGGTGAAGACTTGGGGTGTGATGGTGGAGGAAGACTTGGGGTGTGATGGTGGAGGAAGACTTGGGGTGTGATGGTGGAGGAAGACTTGGGGTGTGATGGTGGAGGAAGACTTGGGGTGTGATGGTGGAGGAAGACTTGGGGTGTGATGGTGGAGGAAGACTTGGGGTGTGATGGTGGAGGAAGACTTGGGGTGTGATGGTGGAGGAAGACTTGGGGTGTGATGGTGGAGGAAGACTTGGGGTGTGATGGTGGAGGAAGACTTGGGGTGTGATGGTGGAGGAAGACTTGGGGTGTGATGGTGGAGGAAGACTTGGGGTGTGATGGTGGGTGAAGACTTGGGGTGTGATGGTGGGTGAAGACTTGGGGTGTGATGGTGGGTGAAGACTTGGGGTGTGATGGTGGAGGAAGACTTGGGGTGTGATGGTGGAGGAAGACTTGGGGTGTGATGGTGGAGGAAGACTTGGGGTGTGATGGTGGAGGAAGACTTGGGGGGTGATGGTGGGTGAAGACTTGGGGGGTGATGGTGGGTGAAGACTTGGGGGATGATGGTGGAGGAAGACTTTGGGTGTGATGGTGGAGGAAGACTTGGGGTGTGATGGTGGAGGAAGACTTGGGGTGTGATGGTGGAGGAAGACTTGGGGTGTGATGGTGGAGGAAGACTTGGGGTGTGATGGTGGAGGAAGACTTGGGGTGTGATGGTGGAGGAAGACTTGGGGTGTGATGGTGGAGGAAGACTTGGGGTGTGATGGTGGAGGAAGACTTGGGGTGTGATGGTGGAGGAAGACTTGGGGTGTGATGGTGGAGGAAGACTTGGGGTGTGATGGTGGAGGAAGACTTGGGGTGATGGTGGAGGAAGACGTACAGTGCAGGAGTAGTGTGCGTGTGGGGCGGCCGCCACGCTGACTCCATCATCTTGGTGGAGATGTAACAGTCTGGCATACATTTGCATGGCATTAGTATAGCATGTGAACTGCTGGAACCGTCTCTTAAGCACAAGGGCAGCAGCTCGCGGGAGAGAGAAGAGAGAGAAAAGAGTGAGTGGGTGGTACAGGAGAAACTTGGTGACACCCTGAGCTTATTACACACTGAGAGCTTATTGCACTCAGAGTGTAATAAGCACACTTGGATAAGTGTGTCAACACTGTCCACGACTTGTCTCTTCATGTTAGCTAATTATAAAAACAATGTTGCCGAGACAAAGATCAACGTTTCAAGGGGGAAATTAGACAGGTTAAGTCAAGGTTTGGCTGATAAGCTGTAAAGGATATTATGCAGTCAAGAGTATAGGTTGATGAAGCAGTCGTCAGGCAAGCCTGGTGTCAAGACGGATTGCCAGAGTACAGATACTACAACTCGGTCGTAGGTATATCTTGAGATCTTGAGATGATTTCGGGGCTTTAGTGTCCCCGCGGCCCGGTCCTCGGCCAGGCCTCCACCCCCAGGAAGCAGCCCGTGACAGCTGACTAACACCCAGGTACCTATTTTACTGCTAGGTAACAGGGGCATAGGATGAAAGAAACTCTGCCCATTGTTTCTCGCCGGCGCCTGGGATCGAACCCGGGACCACAGGATCACAAGTCCAGCGTGCTGTCCGCTCGGCCGACCGGCTCCCCTATATGAAGGTAAAGCACAAAAACTCCAGTTTGTGTTGCTAAACAGTGCAAGAATCGCAAAGTTGCTAGAATGTTGTTAAGGTGTTAGTGTGCGCGAGGCAGTAGCGATGTGGTGATGCGGGCGAGGCTGGCCGGGTTATCTCTGTGGGCGGGGACTCGGCCACAGGAATGTTATCGCCGACTGATACCGAGGAGCCAAAGGGCTGCTGATTTTTTGTATTGACGTACTTGGGTGCGTGGCCATCTATGCAGTTACCTCAGACTACGTGAAGAGTTAAGTGTCCAGAGAGGTATGTGATGCTACTGGTTCTGAACGAGGGTTTGCGCGGCCGGACAGTGCCGCCTCAGCTCCCCCTGTCCCCACTAGAGTCGTCAACACGCCCCCCCCCCCCACACACACACACACACGCACACGCACGCACGCACGGGGCTCATTGACGGTTCTCAAAACAGAAGTAGTCTGGTATATGTTGGGGCCGCCGATGTGCCTGCTAGCTTGAGATAGGGGGGGGGGGGTCCAGGGAGCTTCAAAAACATTTCGCTGTAGACTAAACAACCATTGGTCGGAAAACTCGTACCAGTCGACCTCCACAACCTAGTAAGATACGAAGGAACATCTTTCTCTTCCCTGCTTATTAGTTTTTCCTCGGAAACTATCTTATTATTGAATTGAAAATTAACGAAGCCATCCTCGGGGAAATTGAAACTAGGGATCATTGGATTGACTAAACGGCATGATAACCACCTCGCTTCACTTGCCGAAGGTTCAAAGTCGATGCTTCAGAATCTGAAGTGGATTGCTTTTGACTTGTGTGTATTCCAGGTAAAGATTGGCGGGGTGGGTTGGTGGCGGGTACTTGAGACGCCTCTTCACAAGATTTATAATAGCTATAATAATAAATGATAGGGGAAGTACACGATTGATAATTGACAAGCATCGGAGATTCTTGGTGACTCATCTTGACGTGTGTGTGGCATCATTACAGGCAATTGGTACATCTTGAAGATAATTGTATCGGCTATCTAGCGCTCCGGGGTGATCTTAAAAGCCGCCACATACAGCTAGTTAGTGAAGCCAACTTTCAGGTGTTGTTAGGTGTGGAGATAGACCACTACAGCCCGAGCGGTCGGCGGTCAGGTAGTTACGCTGATGGATGGACGTGTTTAATACTTGTATGTAGGAAGGCCGAGGCTCGGGAGGGTGGGAGGGGGAGGGGGGGAGAGAACTGCTAACCGTACACAGGGGCCAGAAACTTAAGATATTCACTTAGCACCGATGTGTCTGGGAATTCAGACCTGCAAGGATTTACCCAGATTCATGTGGTTATCTTCTTGTAGATATCTCACATGTGGCCATTCAACATGCACTTGCCAACCATCACCCCCCCCCCCTTTCCCTCTTCCTCCCCCTCTCTCCCCCCTCTCTCCCCCCCTCTCTCCTCCCTCTCTCCTCCCTCTCTCCTCCCTCTCTCCTCCCTCTCTCCTTCCCCCTCTCTATCTTATCATATATATATGCAAACAAGCCTGAATGGTCCCCAGGACTATATACAACTGAAAACTCACACCCCAGAAGTGACTCGAACCCATACTCCCACAACTGGTATGTACAGGGACGCCTTAATCCGCTTGACCATCACGACCGGACATAAGGAAGTGATAGCCGAGGCTATATGAACCACTTCCCCGCCGGCACTCGGATGGTAATCTTGGGCATAGCATTTTATCAAATCACCTCATTCTTTGGGGCACACGTGAGGAACACAAATGCAAACAAGCCTGAATGGTCCCCAGGACTATATACAACTGAAAACTCACACCCCAGAAGTGACACGAACCCATACTCCCACAACTGGTATGTACAGGGACGCCTTAATCCGCTTGACCATCACGACCGGACATAAGGAAGTGATAGCCGAGGCTATATGAACCACTTCCCCGCCGGCACTCGGATGGTAATCTTGGGCATAGCATTTTATCAAATCACCTCATTCTTTGGGGCACACGTGAGGAACACAAATGCAAACAAGCCTGAATGGTCCCCAGGACTATATACAACTGAAAACTCACACCCCAGAAGTGACTCGAACCCATACTCCCACAACTGGTATGTACAGGGACGCCTTAATCCGCTTGACCATCACGACCATCATCAAGTGATATCACTTGATGACCATCATCAAGTGATAGCCGAGGCTATATGAACCACTTCCCCGCCGGCCGAGTGATAGCCGAGGCTATATGAACCACTTCCCCGCCGGCACTCGGATGGTAATCTTGGGCATAGCATTTTATCAAATCACCTCATTCTTTGGGGCACACGTGAGGAACACAAATGCAAACAAGCCTGAATGGTCCCCAGGACTATATACAACTGAAAACTCACACCCCAGAAGTGACTCGAACCCATACTCCCACAACTGGTATGTACAGGGACGCCTTAATCCGCTTGACCATCACGACCGGACATAAGGAAGTGATAGCCGAGGCTATATGAACCACTTCCCCGCCGGCACTCGGATGGTAATCTTGGGCATAGCATTTTATCAAATCACCTCATTCTTTGGGGCACACGTGAGGAACACAAATGCAAACAAGCCTGAATGGTCCCCAGGACTATATACAACTGAAAACTCACACCCCAGAAGTGACTCGAACCCATACTCCCACAACTGGTATGTACAGGGACGCCTTAATCCGCTTGACCATCACGACCGGACATAAGGAAGTGATAGCCGAGGCTATATGAACCACTTCCCCGCCGGCACTCGGATGGTAATCTTGGGCATAGCATTTT